TAAAATAATAACTATCTAAAAATAACTATTCAATAAAATATAAATATGAAATTAACCAATAGAATATAATAAAATATCATCCAATTAAATTTATGATATAAATTAATCAATAAAATAAGAACTAAATATCCATATTATAATAGATCTCTCATAGTTAAGAATTTTACTCTGTAAAATAAAAATATAAGATAATAAAATGAGTATAAAAATATAAGATAATAAAATGAATATAAAAATATAAGAATTTGAAAATATAAGAATATATGTTGGACCTTAGTTCTGCATGCTTATCGTAAGACACTGGAAGACTTTGCTACTCAGCTATATAGTCTTAGTCAATTATGATAATCATCATTGATTTAAGAAAGTGAATAATAAGAATAAAGTCTTATCTTATGTATAGGCATTATAGCATAGGTCCTTTGATAAGGCTGTAACAACATGTGGGTTATTTCACAAGTCATCAACACACATAGCATTCTGATTTCTTCCGTTAAGATGAAATTAAGAACAAGAAAATTTAAACTGTATATATAACAGAGAACATCTATTACAAAATTCAAGCGACATCGAATCAACATCTCAATGAATTAAGTCAGAAAATCAGCCATAACAACAGTTTCTATTTACTCAAAATTTTCGCATATACAAGAAGGGTAACAATAAAAAAAGAGTAATTTAATAAAAATAAAATAAATTAAAAAACTTAAAAAATGAATTAAGTGTTTTTTTATAAGAAAATGTATCTAATTAATTAATAATTGAGATCTTTTTATCATCTATTCCAAATATAGATGGATAAATAAAAGAATAAGAGATTATAAAAGTGAACAAAGAGAATGATAAACTTTAAAAATTTTACTATATTTAGTAAGAAATAGCTGGGAATTCAAATAAACAAAAAATATAAACATGTATTAGTTAACTGACTATATATAAGTCATGACAAATCTTTATACCAAACATGATAATCATATGTCATAAACTAAAAAAAGGTTGGACTTATTGATATGACCAACAAAAACTAAACTAAAAATAAACAAATAAACAAATAAACTAAATTTTCCAGAAATAAAATACGAATATAACTTTTAATTTCAAATTTATAACATAAATTATTAATAAATGATACTGTTATCCTGTTAATGGTTGATACCAATCGAGTTTTTGCATCTATTTAAGAGTTCACATTAACAACAGGTTACTTCATCTTCATTCATTAAAAATTTTGTTGATAATCCACTTTATTCCCTTGCAAAAATGAATTTTTCACTGAAAAATTATAATAAAGTTCCTTTTAATTTCGTGTACAAATTTTAACATGATCTTTATAATTTCTATCTGTGTGTGACATCTCCTGAATCTATTTTTGGATGTCAGATCTACATTATGCGAGTATGCAGCTTAGTATATTGATCATTAATCATTTCCTTTTCTTGTCGTGAGAAACAAAAAGAGTTTTCTTGACTAAATCTTTTTAAGACTGATTATATTTCATTTCCTTTGTATCATTGATTGACTGATACAGTATTGTTGTGTGTGCTGTGTGAAGACCCTATTTACTCTATTTTTCACTTTGTTTGGTCGTTTGGAAGACTTTACAGCTTCCATTTTTCTTTAAAAAAGTCATTATTTAATAAAGAGTGTGTTATTAAATTTCGCTTATCGATCACGTGACTTTGTTTATGTATAATTTCATTGGCTGGTGGCTGATGATGTGGCTGATGTCATGTGATTCATAATTTTGGCTGAAATTTTGTGACATGGTATTTGTAATGTTCTAGATGCCAAATTTAAGCTTTTCGATAATTTTGAATTTTGATTGGTCGATTATGATACGTGACATGTGATCTCATGTGACTTTTTGATGATGTCACCGTGTTTTGTAATTATCGTAGCATTCTCTTTATTTAATTACTTTCTTTAACAATAACTTCTTTTCTTCTTGATAATAAGAGGTAAAAAATCTCATTTCGTCCACAGAGGGTATTTAAGAGGATAAGTTTTTTTCACCACAATATTTTTTAATATCATCTTGTACCAAATCCTTTCGTAAATAGTAATGTCCACCACTAAAACGAGCAGATGTTCTTAAATATTTAAAGTCTAAACAAGAGGAGATGGACCTTGACGACGAAGATATAAGTATAATTGAGAAAAATAAGGTTGCCGGCCGAGTTTTTATTTCTTTGACAGAAGATAAACTTATAGCCTCTCCATATAATCTTCTCGGTGGACCAGCGGGAGCCATAGCACTTTTGATTAAAGAACTTAATAGTGAGTTGCAAGGTAAGACGCCATATTCCTAATACATGTATTCAAAAAAAATTTCGGTTATCTTACATTCCATCCCTAGCGTCAACATCTCTCCAGCAACCAGAAAAATTGGAAAATAATCTACAAACTGCCGAAGCTATCGAAAAGACGCATGAACTCCCAGATAATCCTATCTCGACTTCTGAAGAAAGTCCAGCTAACGCACACTTGTCTGAAACTGAAGAAAGTCTACCTAACACACACTTGCCTGAAACTGCCTCAGGTCTCCTCCGTTATTATGGTAAAGAGCAAATAAATATTTATTAGAATATCCTCTTTTTTTAAATATGTCTTTATTTCCATATTCTGGCAGAGCTTTGGAACTGTCACTATACAAAATGGCCGAGCCTTAACGAGTTTTCCGACTATTTACGTGATGTTCCCAAAGATCGTGTACATCATTCTTTTAAAATAGAGGTTGAAGTTTTACGAAAATTGTTTGCGAACGAACACCCTGCTCAGCTACGTCTTATACAACTGGAAAGCCAACTGAAGGTAAGAAACAGCCTGGAAACCAAATATCTATAGCTGTATGCTTATTGGCGAGGGAGCTGTGTGCTCGGGCGGGAAGTTCTCGTTGAGTCGAGAACATAAAGTTTAGGCTCTTCCTAAGGGATATTGTGTCTGTTAATACTTTATAAAGCCTGCGTGCTCGTGAGCGAAATGCGTTTTCGTGGGATGAGGTGCATCCTCATCTAACTAAAGTATAACATTCCAGGCTGTTTATTATATATAATTGTACTTTGTCATGTGCGTTGTTTTATCAACTAAACTACAATCCCAGATGCGACAGTCAGCAAGAATAATTAAAAAAGCAACTAGAAACGCAACCAAACTGCTCGCAAAAAAAACGAGTGTAAAAAAAGAATTGGAAATTGTTGAGGTTAGAGTTTTTATATTTTGACATGTTTTTGTAGTTATATAATAAGCTTATCCCTCGCAAAACATTTCAGGATTCTACGATTATCGATGGATATCGTCGGATTAATAAACATTACGACAGTTTTCACGAAGCAAGTACACAATTAGTTAAGCGTAGGTTCTTGGCCGATAATGACCATTCTGATTCTAATCACGAAGTAGATGGTTCAAAAAGGTGTCGACAACAATGAAAAAAATTTAGTTTTAACGATTGCCGATCAATTTTGCAAAGAATTTTCGTAGAACTTGGGTCGTTCAAATTTTCCAGAGCGAAAAATTCTCAATCATATGTATATACATTTGTTTTCTTTATTGTTACAAATAAAATTTAAGGCTGATACATGATGCGTAATGAAATACAGTCACGAAAAAATAATTTTCACAGATACTCGCGTTTCGCAAGTGTTAATAATTGAGTGTAATGTGCATCATAATTATTTACCGCAATAGCAAATTCCAGGTTTTATTTTATCGTTTGGCGGTATAAATCATGCAAAACATCCTATGTATGAACTTTTGTAGGTTTTTTCTCCGCTATTTAGATCGTAATAATAACCTTCATCGTCATCATCAGAAAACCACAGAAGCTCCCATCATCGTTGTCATCATCTTCGTTGTTATTGAAGAAATCATCACCATCATAGTTGGAATCTTCAGGCACGTTAGTGCTCTCACTCCGTGAGACATCGGGTGCACTTACCTGTATCTCGGCTTCTGATGAATCGGGAATTTGAGATTCGATAGTTATATCTACCTCTGTCTCCGGTAAAGATTTAACGTCTTCATTTACCGCATCTTCTGAATTGCCAGAGGCAGTCACAGGGTGGCTAGAGGTATGAGTTAATGGGATAGAGGGGATAGATGTAACGCTTACCTCAGTTTCAGGTAAATCATCTGAAGAATTGTCCTGATCATCGGTGTATTCTATATCAGGTCTTTTGGTGAAGTGATCTATAATCGTTTGAATCTGAGAATTAGTAAATTTTGAAATAGCATTCGCACTATATGATTTAATATATTTGACCTTATCTAAACCTATCTTTTCGAATAACCTGAAAATTTTTCTAGCTCTTTCAATTTTCTTATATAGTGATTCACGCCTAATGCCAGGATTTTGTGTAATAATAAAATCGTAAACTTGACTTTTAATTTTTTTCATACTCACTTTATCTCTATTCATGATTTCATCAAGACTTTTGTCAAGTACTATAATAAAACTACTCCAGCATAAAATTTCGGCCTGATTAGCTTTTACTGATTCATCTTCCGCATCACATGCTTTTTCATATAAGTGGGCTATATTTTGGAGGATGCTCAATTTTTCCTGACCCGAGGTCAGCGAAATTTCAGTTATATGATCCGGAGATATGATCTTGGACAGATGAAGATGCATCATTGTAACTGTTACCTGCAGGTAATTCCTGAATAAAGCCTTGTTCACGGGTGATAATAGGGACAGTATCCTTGGAAGTTATGATTGTCTCTTGTTCTCGAAGCCTCTTCTCCTTAATGCTCTGAATTATCTCGTTACTAACTTTTTCTTTATACTTTGAATCCAGGAATTCATCGACTTCCTTATCTTCCAATGATTTACTCTCTGTGCGGATAGGTGATGCGGGGTATTGGGATGAAAGCTCCTGATGTACACCAGAATTTGAAGTGTTATCAGATATTAGTTGCAAGAGTATCATCAGTGTAAGTTTGTCTGTTCAGGAATATCGTTAGAATTTTCCGTTTCAATAGAGGTAGTATTAACTAGAGGTTGGTGATCGTTTAAGACCGCCCCTTTGGGTCTGATTTCTCTGGTATCATTATCCGATTTAGATGTGGGAGCATTAGCGGAGCTGGCATGGCCATTACTTCGTAATATAATATGGTTGCTCTTTTCTTCGTCGGTTTGTAACTGTTTCTGTTCCAATTTCACAACCCTAGCTTTAAGTTCGGCGTTTTCTGAAGCGGTATCTTTATCGTTCTGCTCCAGTTTTATAAATCTGGATTCATGCTCTTCCAAGGCTTGTTTTAATTTTACGTTCTCAGCTTTAAGTTCTATGTTCTTGGCCTCAGCTTCGGAAAATTTTTTTCTAAGTTCGGAAATCTCGGCATTCTCCTTCCTAAGTTCAACAATCTGGGATGTGAGCTTGGAATTTAATTCTCTCAACGCTTCAATCGCGAATTGAGTTACTTGCCATTGTTTTATATAAGCTACAGATATATTCAAAAGGTTAAGAAATATCTATATCGGGCACATGAATCTATATCGGGTATGAAAAATCTTGTAATACATCTCATTATCTGTGATTTAATTTTCCGATATGTAACTATATAGCCACTGTGTGACTGCCTTTGCAATAGTTCAAAGTCACATGATATTTACCGTGACCATTTTCGAAATCGCCAGCGTGTAGGGGGAATCGTCCGACCACGTGATTTCCGGACCAAATGATCTGCATTATTTGGTCCGAC